AAGCCTGCTGGGTGTTCCGCGAGGATCCGTTGTACCTGGCTGCAGTCTGAAAGCACCGCCGGAGTTTTGCATGCGTTACGCTGGCTGGGTTTTCAGTGGGGCTTTACAAATGGGCTAATCCAGGTTAGGGCTTTTCTGGAAGCTCTTTAATCCTTCTGACATTTGCATAATGATCTCCATACTGTAATTCTTGTGTGACAGTGTGGTGAAGTTCTTTCTGACTTACCTTAATGATACCAAATTGACTTCATCGTCTTTCAGGACTGAGAACACCATGAATTTCAATGTTTAAAAAAGTGTGGGGCCAGATTCACTCCTGGTGTAATCACCTCTACACCTCTGTAATCATATAATCTCTAGAGCTAAGTGAGGCGTGCACTGACTTTGTCCTACGTAAGTAAATATTAACTCATATTTGGGAATCTAGATGAGGTGGGCAGATTCTGCTAAAGACCTACAATTAAAAAATAGGAACCTTTCACAGTGGTATTCTATCAGAATAATACTTTTTCCATATGACTTTCATTAAAACATGATAATCTCCCATGAAAATTCTAAACTAATCAGCTGTAATAAAGAATAGATGAGGATTGTATGAATACTTTATGTGAACAGTAAGAAAGTCTAAGGTTTTGAGGTATTGTGCTAAAATTTGCACGACTGCACAGCAGGTAGTAGCAGGCTGGCTTCTCATTTGTGTCCTGCTGCAGACCTTAAAATAATAACAGACATGGGCTGAAAGGCAATCCTCAGCAGCCATGCGACACCAGTTCTGAGATGATAAAAATGAGGGATGCTCTAGCAGGCATGCTCACCAAACAAAACTTCCATAGTAATTCAGAAAACAATTAATTTCCATAGGAAAACAGACTAAGAAACTGAATCACAGGGTGATGTTCATGTATGTAGTTTAAAAAAAGAAAAAAATATAGAAAATACCTTTTTTTTTTAACAGCTATCATTCAATACAACTGGTATTATCTGATGTCTTGCTTATTTTACCTGCTTCATGTTTAATACCTGGGAGTTTGAATATGACTTTTATTCTCAGCAGCAAATACAAAAATATAATCGTTCTCCCTACAAATCCCAGTGGGTTTTCTCATGTCTGACCTCGTCTTTCTTGACCTGGCATCTAGTCGCAAGCCTATCACATGAAGCATGTATCTTGATGAGCAGGTTGTGTCAATATATGCAACTGTTTGTGCTCACTACCTATGAGTGATTAAATGTGTGAAAGAAAACCATTACCCTGATAACACCTTATTTCTCCAAGGAGTAGTAGATACTCTACCTTTTATTTGCTGAGCGCCATCAGCATTTCTGTCGTCCTCTGTTTCTTGTGATAAAAGGAGAGGAGTCCAGGTTAACCAAAAGGTTAGTACGATATTTTAAATGCTGCTTTTTTTATAAAGCACACTCTGTGACCTTTAAAAAATGATTACAATTAAATCCACTTTGTGGACCGAGATCACGTTCTAGATCAGGTTATAGCTAGTTTGAAATTTTCTAGATCAGGTTCTAGGTCACTTGAAAGTTCTAGAGCAGGTTCTAGATCACTTTATGGCTCTATATCACTTTGTGGTTCTAGACTATGCTCTAGCTTGCTTGTTGGTTCTAGGTCACTTCCTGTCACAGCTTTGTCAGTTCTGATTCAGGTCACTTACTGACTGGTTCCAGAGAGTAGCTCAAAAGTGTTCAGGACTGCTTCTTGGTTCCAGGACAGGTCCTAGCCCAAGTGATATTTTTAGATCACTTTATGGTTCAAAATAGTATTCTAGTTCACTTTGTGGTTCTAGAGTGGGTTCTAGATCGGGTTCTAGCTCACTTGGAAGTTCTAAATGTGTGATCAAATTGTGTATTCCAAAGTCCTCATTTTGTGCCCCGTTATGAACTCATTTGAAGAGAGACTGAGAAGCAATAAAGGGTATTAAAGCTGCACTGATGGGAGATAGGAGCTGACTCCTCAAATTATCCGTGCAGCAGGTTAAGTCTTATCTCGTGTGAGCACGCGTGTACCACCTCACAACCCTGTGTAAGCAGCTCACCCCGGCCTGGCTCCACAGGGCTGCTTCATCCTGTGCTTGAGCATCTCGCAAAAGAGAGGTCAAGATGAGAAGGACGCTTTCTCCTCCCAGCGCCCAGCAGCGCTGCGCCGAGCGGCTCTGGGCTTCTTACTGAAGCAAACGGGGAAATTGCAGCTACTGAGGGATGGATGCTGTTTCCCCTGAGCAGCTCCGGATGCTGAGCAGCCTGGCGCTGTGCTGTAATTTTGGTCTGGGCAGGCAGTCAGAGTCCCACGAAGGCTTTGAACGTTACAGTTGTGTTGAGACACTGAAGCCTTGGGGCTGGAGAGTCCTTGCAGCAGTGATAAAGGCGTCTCCTGCGCTGAGAGGCTGCCACGCAGCTGCGTGTTGTGAGTAGGGAATAATCACCCCCTTTTCTCTCTTTTCAGGAGATTTGTCCTCACCAAGATGAGAGTCATTCCAAAAGGAGCTTTTGCAGGACTTGGTGACCTAGAGAAAATGTATGTATTGCATCCATATTTGCTACAAAACAACTATTTCACACGAAACAGCAGCTTCTGTTTGCAGCTCCTTATACTGCGTGTGAGCAAGCCCCAATCTCTGAGCTTCATCTAGTCTAATCTTTCTGTTTAAAAAAATTAGGAACTCTTTTTTTAAGACCATGTTACAAAATGCATTGTCACAAATACACTTTTATATCAGTGAGCAGGCAGTCCTCAGTCAAAGGGTTGGGTCAGCATGGAGTGTCATTGCAATTAATAAATAAAGTGCCGTAGCAGAAGATCGTAGGAAATGGATCATCCTGAGAACTTTGTCATAAACTAGGGGAAGATTAGGGAGGAAGGTCCTCCTGTTGATAACAAGGCAGCCAATTCTTTTTTCACTAATGAATAAACAGGGTTGTTTTGTGCATGTTCAGAGTCAGCTAGCAGGATGCACGAGAGAAGTTTCTTACCGGTGATAGGTCTGAAAATCTTAGCACATAAAGGGTGTAAGCATCTAATATCTGTGGATTTTAGTGATAAGCATGGAGAGATAATTATCAGCACCTTTGATGAGCAGATGTATCATACATTTGTTATTATACTATTGTGGATGTATTGCAGCCCTCCACCACTAGGAGGAAAAATCCTTAATAAAGAGTTTCCTGCTATTCTTGGGGAAAATCTATGGGGTAACTGGTGCTAGCACCAGAAATTATAGCTGTCACTGTCCAACCTGAACTATTCAGGGATAGGTGTGATTTTTCTGAATTATTTGATATACGAGCAAATCACAACGTTGTATTTAGAAGCACACCCAGCGCTTGCACTCTGACGGGAGAGGGTCACAAACAGGCTGTTCACCCAAGGGGACTCTGAGTGGGAGGGGGGAAATGCACTTTAACATCAGTGCCTTTTTCAGTGCTGTGAGTGGAACAGCAAAACTGAAAAGGAATCAATTACCAACATTTCTTTGCATCATTTCTACCCTTTTCCCTCATATTCTTGCTCAAGTAAGGGATTTAGCAAGAAGGTGAACCCACCAGAAGGTGTGGTGAGGAAAGGAGAAGGATTTTGAGCCTGGAGAAGTGTGGGTGGATGAAGAACAACCAGTGAATGTGCAACAAGGATTGAAGAGCTGCTGGTCAGCAGCAAGTAGTAAAGCTCACATGGCACCTGGCTTTTTCTGGAGCATGAGATCCATTTCAGAGCATCACCACAGGTTCAAGAGTCTTCTATTGGCACATGGTAAACAGGCTGCCCAGGGAAGTGGTGGAGTCACCATCCCTGGAGGGGTTCAAGAAGCGTGGAGATGTGGTGCTTCAGGGAAAGGTTTAGTGGGTTGGGTGGTGTTGGGTTGACAGTTGGACTTGGTGATCCTTGAGGTCTTTTCCAACCTTAATGATTCTATAATGATTCTATGGTTACAAAGCCTCCACTTTCTACATCCCACTTGTGGATTTGGACCCTCATCACCCCATCAATCACCACTGTCAGCAGCCATTTTTATTGAGAAAACAAAAAGAAAGTTGGGGGTTTTTGGGTTTGTTTGTTTGTTTGGGGTTTTTTGTGGGGGGTTTTTTTGTGGCCAGGAGTTACCAGTTAGGAATGAGATCAGCTCTGCATCACCAGTTTTGCTGGCACTTGTTTCTGCTGAGTCCTGCAGGGTTCCTTTTAGCCTGGACCTGAGGGAAAATCATTGAGCTCTCTGGACTATGAAGTGGGCTGCAAAGTGCATTGTAAACTGCTCCCGTTATCTTTAATTACTCAGAAATCATATGTCAGATACGTATAAAGGTAGCGATTGCATCGAATAGGATGTCTCTAAGTCATGATTTATTGTTAACTAAAAAAATTATATATGGAAATGAACTCAGTTTGAAAATATATTTATATACTAGTAGTACACAGAGAAGAAATGGGGATAGACAGTTTGTAGCAAAACATCCTTGAGAATAAAAGTGTGATAAGTATGTAAATGAGACCAATCAACATCAACAAAGATGCGGTACTTGCAGATGTACAGCAAACAGATAAAATTTGAAATAGCTCGCAAATCCTAAACCTAGCCCATAAAACATTCATCAGAAATATTCATTATAATGTAGGGACCAAAAAAGTATGTAATCAAATGATAGATTTGCGTATAAAAACAGTTTTTGTATGAAAGCCTTTTTAGTCTTGCAAGATCATGCACAGAAAGAAAGATTAAAGCAAACTGTAGTCTATTTAAGGAAAACAGCTATTAATAATGTGATACCTCCATATGGTAAAAAGTGGATAGCTTGATGTATACAAATGAGGTATTTCATTGTAGTGTATGTATGTGCTCACCTAGAACTAAATAGACTAAAAATTAAGAGCGACAATATTTCCTGAGTGTATTACTGAAGAAAACCAGTATCTTATACAGTCTAATGTATCTGTGACTTTTATCATTACTAGATCATTTTCAATTGTGTTTCTGAGAGTAGGGTAGGTTTTAAAGCCCAAAAGTTGCAGGGAATGGTGGTCTTTGGCATCATCCATTTGAGATGGGCCCTCCATGAGAATCTTAACTCTTAATCCAAAGAGGAGGAAGGCTTTTGTATACAGTGACCAAAAATTTCTGGCTTTCAAATAAAAATCATTCAATAGCATTTTTTCAGTGTTCCTGCTTTCTATCTGCATTTTAGTTTCTTCCTAAACACTCAAGCAGCTGAGAGCCTTGAACTTTGCTACAAAATGTAAAATACTTCCAGTCTGACTCTTCCAGTGAGACTCCAGCCATAGTACCCAGAAAAGATCTTCTTTGTTTCCCATTTGGACTGTCCAAGGACTTTCCAGAATGGACACTAGTGACTATGACTTATAATGGAAAAAAGTAGTGTGACCTGGAAACGTCGCCATGGAGCACTCGATCTGTGCTCCCCTGTGAAGCTCCAGTTAGTTATCAAGTCAAAATCTTTTGGTTTTCATCGATTTTGGCAAAATACAGACATTAGGAGAAGAATAAAGTTGTCACTGAGATTCTTTAGCCATTTTGAAGTTTTTTGAAAGAATGAAAGCCCATTTGAACCATCTCTAGCTTGTCATTTTTTTCTCACCCATCTGAATTTCTTCAGGTACTGAAAAGCCATGAAATGTCCATTCTGCAGACTGCCATACAGAGAAATAACTTCCCTGAAGTGTGTGGAGAAAGACCTTCTTTTCTTCTTAGATAAAATGTTTAAAGTTATGACATAAATTGACAGGCTCTAATTATCTGAGTTTTCTCTTGCCAAAGGTGCAGCTTGAATTTTCTTAGAGAAAACTACTCCAGAAACACACAGATCTGTGGAACAGCCTAACCAGCTTATTGCTGGCAGGTCTCCAACTTCTGCAGAGCTCTGGCTTCATGTTATTTTAGCAAAGAGGCGTTCAGGGAAGCAGATTATAAAATCATAGAATAGAATCATTAAGGTTGGAAAAAGACCTCAAGGATCATCAAGGCCAACTGTCAACCCAACACCACCTATGTTTCGTCTACTCCTAGGTCTTGGCCAACTGGAACATGGCAGCTTGTCTGGACTCCTGCTTAACCAGCCTGTTTACACCCCCCAGAACTAGTTAACCCTCCAGTTACTAAACTAAAAACAGCCCCATGCACGCACATACCTGGCAAAATCAATTCAACATGCTGTGCAGCTGCTATGTCATCTTCAACCTGCACTGAAAGGGCTTCATTTGGAGAGACAGTCTGAACCAATATTGAGTCTCCCTTTTTCTCTTGCTAAGTTTCCTTCTGTTACTGCAAGGTAGCAAAGTAGATTTGTGAATGTTGGTCTAACAAGGACATCGTATTTATAGGAAGTTCAGTCTGATTGCTTTACCCTACAGAGGCCAAAGAGGCTTCACATTTGTATCATGAGGCACAATCCCCTTGATAATTCATTGTCAGTTATGTATTCTTTTGAAGTGTTCAAGCTAAACCATAATGCTTTGTTTCCTCATTCACCCTCACATCCAACCTGTTTGTGACCCAAGGAACTTCAGCCATGTGCATGAAATACTTCTTGAACCAGAAGATGTCACAGACAAAAACCCACCGTTATTGGCCCTGTTTTGTGTTTTGGAGTAATAGGATAAGGTTGTTTCTTTAACACTGTTTGTGGCCCAAGGAACTTCAGCCATGTGCATGATATGCTTCTTGAACCAGAAGATGTCACAAAAACCCACCGTTATTGGCCCTGTTTTGTGTTTTGGAGTAATAGGATAAGGTTGTTTCTTTAACAGATTTTGTCAAAGACACATTTTAAAAACATGAACCATGCTATGGTTAACGGAGCTTGATGAGCTAAACCCTTGATGAGCTCTGAAAATCCTGGAAAGCTAAAACTTTGAGGGATGAAGGGATCTGCCAGAGTTGACACTCTTGGAAATTGAAATCTACGGAAGACAGCAGGAGTATATGCACCAGCTGTCTACAGCTTCCTCATGAATTTTTAAAGAAAATAACTCTGAGTATTTACTTAATCACTCAATGCATTTTTTTTTTTTTTTTTTTGCTGAAAGTGTTGAGCCAGTGATGGTTCATATGAAGAAATGCTACTGGCTGTGACCTAGATATACGAGCACCAACTTATTCCAGATACAACAACCAACCTGATGAATGATGCTAAAATCTTTCCTGTTTAACCCTGTGGGCTAAAAGGCAGGTCACACTTTCCTTTGACTTACTTAGATCAGACTGAGTTACATTTTATGTATTATCTAGACTGAGGTGAGGGACTCGGGGACAGTGGAGACCACTCTAGAGTATTTTGAGGCATGTGCTGGGGTACATTGCTGAATCAAGGCGTATCTCTCTTCCTGTGGTTTGGGGAAGGAGCAAAGTTCTTGGCTTGATTGTAAAAGTCTGATCAGGAGAATTTGACATAGTGGGAAGCCTTCACTTTTTTTAGCAAGTTTTAACAACCTGGAAAATTGATGGATTCACTATCCAGACCCTCTTCAGCGGTAGCCATCAAAGCTGCCTGGGCTAGCAAATAGCTAAGGGG